AGAGAGAGAGAGAGAGAGAGAGAGAGAGAGAGAGAGAGAGAGAGAGATTGATGTAACAAAAAAAAACAGGTTTGGATGGATACAAACAAATAATGTACACAGCTCCTTATAAATGTTTTTTCCACCTGATATAAAATCATCTTCACCACCACCACCACCACCACCATCATCATCATCTGTATCATCATCATCATCATCATCACTATCATCGTCAGCATCGTCTAACGTCAGTATATGACAGCAGCCAAAACATGCCATTTTAATGGCAGCCTAATTACATCCGCTTTTATTGTATAAAAACAATGGTACATTTTATGATAAATAGGCCTGTGGCGTAGTCGTGGCTCACACCCGATGAACGATGTCCACACAAACACACGCGTACACGCACGCACGCACACACACACATTGTCTAAGCATACAGTGCCAGTAAACATAAACAGTGATGAGCGACAAAGACATAAAATCCAACGAACCTCTTTCTTCACATTGCGCAGCAATTTCTGACGCGTCTCGGCCTCTGTCACGGGAGAAAACATGATGCATAATGCTGATCAGATTGCTATTGTGGGGAATAAATGATGACAGGCTCACGACAGGGAAATAACAACGGCGGCAGCGTCAGGCCTGTACCTCCCATCGCTCCGGGAAAGGTGCAGCGGTGGACACGCACGGCTTTTCCTTTGAGAAGGTCTTCTAGGAAGCAATGAAGACACCGCTGGATAAAAGGCAGAGAGGCTCCGAGATGTGCGATGTGTTCTTAGCAGAGGGAATTAAACCTATCTGTTACCTCTCAGCGAACCAACACCCCTTTAAAGTCACAGTAGCCTACTGTACACATTAAGCCAAATACGACGGGGGCGCCTGTTCGTCACCATAGTCCTTTTTGCTGTGCCTAAAACTTATGTTCAGCAACGTTTTGATGCGTCATCATTTCTTAATCAAATTAGCCATACAATATTCAGAGCCTGATTAACACATGTGAGGATTACAGTGAATGAGCCCCAGCTCTAATTAATTCCTCATTAAATTAATTATCACAATTACTTCTCAGGAAGTGAAGAGAATAACAGATACATTATATGATGCATTCACATAAAACCACCCCACAATATGGTCATGTCATCTTATCATATACATTCCTTTATTTTTATGTACATGGTAAGATGCACAGTGTAGTAATACCGTGTGCATTGTAAACCTACAACCTGCTTTGGAAATACAGCCTTCTTCATTATAAGCATGCCAATAAAGAACATTTTCATTTTGAATCTGGTTGAGACACATTATGTTCGGGCTTTATTGAGACAAAAGAGTTCATTCAAGTATATGTGGCCCACACCTGTAGTGTTGTTGTTAAATCACATTAAAGGGAGTTCCTGAGATATTTATAATACTTTTTTTTGTTGTTGATTGATATACAACAACCAGACAGGAATGTTTGTTTTTGATTAAGTCAGCTAATTGAAAGAAATCTGACAAATCAAAGAGCTTTATGTTAAAATCCAGTAATGCCATAGAGTCAGTCCTGCTCATTGATTCACAACATTGTCCACAATGGACTAATACACCCAGAGATGTTAATAGTTACCACATAGTATGGAAAAATCACAGACAGAGAGAAATGTGTATATGTCATATACGCTAAACTGTATATTGCCTCCTCTCCCACATATAATCTTGTCTTTCAGTTGTTGATTACATTAGGTTTAAACCACAAACCTCAACAATAGACTCCACTAAAACAAGGGGCAATGCTCACAAAAGAAAACCCACAGATGAAAATGAAGCAGGAACATAGGAACATAGGAACTCATATTGTGTTCATCAGGACCTATTGACAGGGTCACTAAGTGCCACGGGTCACAAAACAACTGGATAAGAGGCAATGAGTATTTATGATACATGCTAGTCACAACCTGGAAACGAGGAGGAAAAAAAGAGAGATGGAAGCCACATTCATTGGCTGCAAACACCAGACAAGCTCATCCTCATCCCACTCATAGAACCACCAACATGAATGAACACATTGACTGCAGGACACGCGATCCAAATTCCTCTTGAGCAGGGAAATGATAAGCGTATAGTGCAAGTAAAAGCTTTCAGACTGATGTTGGGTTGGATACACTTGACTGCACTAAACAAAGATGTTCTTTGACGGGTCCAATGAACGAGTGAAAAAAGAAAGGATGTTGTGATTGGAGATACCGTGAGACTATAATGTAGTGAGCTTAGTCTAAAATCACTGTGATTGGATCCAATGAGGTAAAGCAAGGATGAAGTTGAAGAAGTATTCAAATCCTTTACATTAGCGAAAGTCTGAACTGCAAAATGCTCTTAAACAGCATTTTATATGTCGTACAGCTGCAGCAATGGGCAACTAATTTTAACTAAGCTATTTAACACATTGTTGGGTATTCTCACATTTTATGAGATGATCATAGTGTAAAATCCCATTCTGCAAAGTAATTATAGTTATTAGCTGTCAGATAACTGTAGTGGAATAAAAAGTGCAGTAGATGTTTAAAGTTGATGTAAAAGTAAACTTTGTGAATTATTCTTTTAATTTTAATTTTTCTACTTAGACTTTAGTAACTGAAGCTGCATAATGCACCTAGAAAATAGGCACTCATTAGTGAGTTGGTCGGACGATATAGTTGCATAGGATAGACATCAAGGAAACAAGGAAGAAAGCAGTCAAGGAAGCACAGGGGAGGCTGTGTGAGTGTTGGAATAGGACACTGCTTTGTTCAACAGTAGGGGAGGGGGTCAGACGAGCACAGTTGCTTTGCCTGAATCGGTGAATACGATCTGCCAGGGCGGGCAATCCCGTTGTGATCTCTGTCAAGCTGTGTGTTGTAGCGTATCTTGCAAACATTTGTCTCTTCTGGACTCCAACGGATTTCTAACGAGGGATGTCAAAGCGAGTACGAAGCAGAGAGGTCTGCGCTGATTGCAGTGCTCCGGGTAGGATGTCTAACAAGCTAGCTTTAGCTGCCTAGCTAACCAGCTAGCCCTCTCTACAATTTACGTCCAGTTAGCTAACTCATAGTTACCGTTAACAAGTTATTGATTAGCGAGTACCTAGCTGGATATTTTAAAAGGGTTTTAACACTATGTGTTCTTCCTGTGGAAACATTTGTAAAATGTGTCGTGTCTGTGTGGCGTTAATCACGTTAACTTGCTGCTGAAACTCTTTGCTTGAATTGACTTGAATGAAGATTTAGCTAAACCAGAAGCATTAGCTTATTATTCACCCAGTTCGCCACGACTAACTTGCTGATAACATTAGCTAATGTTGTCGCACAGCAAACCCACGCCTGGTTGCATTTGTGATTGTGATTTTGGGTTGTGGAGAAGGACACTCGGAAGCGACTGAGGTGTCATTTTGTTGCTGTCAATTAGCGAATATATATCCTCGTCCCCGGGCTGTTTATAACGTTCGTATCTCCTTCCAGAGCCACGCTGGGCCTCTGTTAACAGAGGTGTGTTGATCTGCGATGAGTGCTGCAGCATCCATCGAGGTCTGGGGCGACACAGCTCTCAAGTCCGACATCTGACTCATTCTCCATGGCCAGCCTCCCAGTCACAGGTGAGGAGACAGGGGGACACTGCCCCCAAAAATACACCAACACGTCCAGATGCAAATGTGGAGACTCTATAAGAAAACTGCGAGAGATAACACCAACGGTTTGCACAATCAGGCACACCATCAAGTGACTAGAAGACACCCTCATGTCTAATGTGCATTCATGTTTTAGATGGTGCAGACGCTGTATGGCAATGGAGCTAATTCCATATGGGAGCACAGCCTTCTGGACCCTTCTTCTTCAGTGAGTGGGAAACGCAAAGCCAACCCCCAGGACAGAGTTCAGTAAGTGCTTTTAAGTATTTTTGATGCGTCCGTCCTGATTCTGATATGCATTTTGGTATAACGCTCTATTGGCATAGTTAAGGTCAGTGAACATGCATAATTGAACCCTCTGTACTACGATGAACACGACTCATGGGCCGTCGGTCTCAAGTAACTTTGAGACTTTCATTAGGAAATGAAGTGACTTGGAGAACACACAACCAAATGAATGTTAAGTTAAAGTGGCAGTATCCTGCTCATGTTAGCTGTGTACGATCAATTTGGTTGAATATTCACAATAGTGATATTTAAAGGGTTTGGATTTGTTATGCTTTTTCAAACAAACAGTATGTACTGTAACTCAGAAGATGTGATGTGATGAAGTCACTCGCATCCACTGCCGGGTGTAAACACGAGGCCGGTCTGGTGGGGCTGGTGCAGTAAAGATAAACAGTCGGCCACATGTAAACACAGCCATGCTGAACCCGACCCTCACACTAAGAGTAAACACATTCAGTCTCCAGACAAAAAACAGACGGCGAGTACGCAATGCACCAAACAGAAGCAGCTATCTTCGGTCCCGAATAGAGGATTCAAGATGAATGCCGCCATATTGGGTGTTTCCATCGGAGGAACTTACACATGGGAATAAGAGCCTTTTGAGTGACTCTGGAAATAAACCTGTGTTTCGACAGTAGGAACTAGGACTCACTTTAGTTCCTGTAGGATAGTGTAAAAAAACAGAGGTCCCTTTGCAGGGGATCGTAGTTTCTGATCTATCGGGGCAGAGTTGTTGAGCAGTCAGATCCTGCAGCTGCTTTAACATCCTTCATTCACAAAACAAGGAAGTATTTATGTTAAGACATGGGTTGGAGTTTTCTTATTGTCTATTAATGTCAAAAACAAAGATATGCTTTGTGGCCAACTTCCCCACTAATTTAGGATACTGTAGAGTCCTTTGTCTGTACAGAGATCAACAGAGACAACGTTGGTCATGACAGTAAAGGATATATAGATAAATGGATAGAGGTAGAGTTTGGATGTGAATGTCTTAAACAATTTGCAAGCGTATTGCAAGAGGGGTGGGGTTCACAGAAGGAGAGCTTTGGTATTCCTTTTAAGGAACGCCAAGATATGCAGAATCCTGTGAAGTGAAATAGTGAATTACTTAATGGAGGAATTGCTTTGCCATGATTTAAATACTGTTACTTGCATTTGCAGTTCTTGCGTCTGATTTCAGTATGAGACCCCAGGACATCCCTGGTTGAGATATGTTTTGATAGCTGTTTGTCTTAAACAAACGTACATCTGATAATGTGAGGTGGGAGTCACTTTAAAATAGCAATCGTGGTCCAGATGTTCAGTTTTCCTGGTTTTAGATGTGAGCAAGTTTTGTTGTTTCCAGTCCCAACAAGACCGAGTTCATCAAAGCCAAATATCAGATGTTGGTGTACGTCCATCGGATGCCTTGCCGGGAGGATGACAGTGTTACCGCAAAAGACCTCAGCAAGGTGACACATGGCTCTACTTTTGATTTCTGTGTTAACTTCTCTACATTCCTCATTTACGAGCATTTTTAGATGTAAGAATAAACCAACATTGTCCCATGCAAATATGCTTCAATAAAGCCAAACATTTGCACAATTTGCAATCACTTGCTTTACTATTGCACAGCAGCAGCTTCTTGGTTTTGAACTGTGATATGTGACCACTTCCTATACATTTCATAGATGGTTTGGTCTATTTACAGATGGATTTTATAGTATTCAGTGTTGCTGTGACATACTGCCGCTCACACTGTCTTGTAATGGTCACGCTAGGACTGGCTGTCATATAGTATAGCGTGTCTGACCTCAAGGCTCTTCTTGCATTTGTGCTCCGAATTCTCTATTATTTCTTAATATTCCCAAATATTATAAGGACAAGCTGGATTATACACATGGTAATAGTTGGCATTGCAATAATCATTTATGGTTGACTACCAGCAAAGAGAAAAGTGCATGTAGGTGTGTGCACAGAAGACACAATGCACCCTTAAACGTGTATTATTCTATCTGTGCACCTTTAAAATAAAAATTGTATCCTTGATGTAGCTCTTACTTGCAATTATCTAACTTTTTATCAAAAATGATATGTCCAGCAGGAAAATCACATTAGTCACTCAGTTCTGGGCGAGTCTATCCACACTGCGTGTATGATACAATCAAATTCCCAATCAAACTACTTGTCAATCTCCTTTCAGCAACTCCACTCCAGTGTTCGGACTGGAAACCTGGAGACCTGCCTCAGACTCTTGTCTTTGGGAGCACAGGCCAACTTCTTCCATCCAGTAAGTGTAGTGGAATAAGCAAAAAAAAAAAAAAAAACACATTTTGTGAGGTTACACGGTCAACGTTGGACATAATACTGATGCATCATCATTGTGGTGTTTTTTTTGGCACAACAGGAGAAAGGAAACACTCCACTACACATAGCAGCAAAGGCCGGACAAATGTTACAAGCAGAGCTGTTGGCAGTTTATGGAGCTGATCCCGGGGCTCTGGACTCCAGTGGAAAGACCCCTATCGACTATGCAAGGTAAAACAGGGCCCATGTTATCAAATCATCTGTTTAATTTGTTACCAACAGTATGTAATGTTACTTCCACCGTATCATTTCAGAGAGGCCTCGGTATAGAACTCGTGGTTTTGAAGCATTGAGGTGTATTGCCCATCATAGTTAGTTCACAGTTTGTCAGCCATGGTTTCTGGAGAGCTCTGTGGTAAAGTCTCACAGTGAGTCTGTGTAGAAAACACAGCCAACAGTTTTTACTGTCGCTGTTCGCGTGACTAACCTTTAGTGTGGCTGCATGCGTCGCCTTAACAGACACAGCCCAGCTCACTAGTGGCAGGAAATGATACACATCCTTTGGAGATTGAACACAGTTGTATTGTACACAGTGTAGCGTGCATGCTATTCATATATTTCGATGTTCGGAAATGATGCACATTCTGACTAAAAAGGGAAGTCACAGAAGCTAAACATAAACGGGTCGAAAATGCTTAGTTAGAAAAAGAGCAGTGTGCAGCTGAGATATTTGGCATGCCTCGCACTACAATAAACATTGGACACAGACCCAGTGGCATTCTGTCAGTCTGAGTAATTCAATAAGAGTATGACTCGCTGAATCAGCTCAACTAGTTCATCAAAAGTTGGAACAAAGACCTAGACATAAAAAATAATATTTTACAAAACATTTTATGATCGAGATAATATCTGCTTTGCACATAGCTTCTAGCTAGAATCATTTTACTGAAACAAGTCAAAGTCAAAATGTTTTTTTATAGTGTTACTGGCATAGCAGATGCTTAGTGGTGTCTAAACATGACTACTCGGGTAACGCCCACACACCTGCGACAGTTTTACTCTCATTACTTAGAAACTTGAGTTCCCAAATCAGCTTTGTACTCCAGATTAAGCGTGTATTGTTGTAGTCACAGAGTTTTGATGTGGATGAACTTAAAGGCATCCTACCTGAGGCCTTCTGTAGCCTTAGAACACTGTCCTATTTATGAATCATGACCTTTTTGTTCCTAATCTGTGCAGACAAGCTGGGCATCAGGATCTGGCAGAGAGGCTAGTGGAGATACAGTATGAGCTGACGGACCGCTTAACATTTTACCTTTGTGGAAGACGACCAGGTGAGGTAGCATAGCTGCTGCTGCTGCATGGCATTTTTAGAGCTTTTTAATCTATGCTAGTCATTAACTGTCATGTCCTTGTTTTGTTGTAGACCACAGAAACGGACAACACTTCATCATTCCACAGATGGCCGACAGGTAACAGATATTTTTATCTCGTGAACACGATATGTCAGGAAAGCTTGGAGGGAATTTTGTCACATTTGGGACAAACTTCCACCTGGACTCAGTGATGAAGTGATTTGATTTTGGTGGTCAAAGGTCACGGTGACCTCACGTCCGTACCATTCTCATAAACGCAAAATTTCAGCAAGTTTCTTCAAATTTGGCAAAAAAACGTCCACTTGCATCGGGTTGAACTGATTAGATTTTGGTCGCTGTGACCTCACAAAACCTGTTTTTTGGGCCGTGACTTTAGCATTCCTTTGCTTATTATGATCATTTCACACAAATTGGGATGAAATGAAAAAGCGATGAACTTTTAGACATGGATGTAAACTGCGACTTGACTCATTGGCGGAGGCGTACGAGTGCAAGGTGGTGATTCTAGTTTTAAGTCATATTTGGATTTTGTTTTGCAGATCTTGTAATACACAGAAAAATGGTGAGACAGTCAGCTCCGACAGACTCCTAGCTAGCTAGCTGTCGATGCTATGTGTTGTACCTAAAATAATTACAATCTTATGCTTATCATATCCTATGCTGCATTGTTTTGATGGATAAGAAATGAGTAAGTATGTTTTGCCATCGTTTCTCTCTTTGTTTGTGTGGACAGAAAAATAATCAGTTTACTGTTTTTGGTCAAAGCAGCCTGGATTTGTCCGAGTTCGCAAAAGCCGCAAAGAAGAAGCTCCAGTCGGTGAGACATTTTTACCAAAAGTCAAAAAAGGCAAATATTAATTTGATAATCAATTATTTTAAAAGTGAAGGAGAACTTTTGCTTTATTTTCTTCAGCTAAGTAACCATCAGTTTGAAGAACTTGCCATGGATGTTTACGATGAAGTTGACAGACGAGAAACAGATGCAGGTGAAATTGCAAGAAGTTTAAAATTACGCAACAAATAATTATTTTCATGCCTGTTTTTTTAATCTTTCTTAAATGTATATATATTTTTTTCAGTGTGGTTGGCCACTCAGAACCACAGCACTCTTGTAACAGACACCACAATCGTGCCTTTTCTGCCGGTCAATCCAGAGTACTCGTCTACCAGAAACCAGGCAAGTGATCGCACCAGTGCTGCCCCGTGTTTAAGCTTTCATTTGTTGTGCGAGTCCTGGACTTAACATTGATGCCGGATTTTTAACTTTTGTGTGTTTTTGATACATTTATGTTCTCAGGGTCGTCAAAAATTGGCACGGTTTAGTGCTCATGAGTTTGCCACCCTGGTTATTGACATTCTAACTGATGCTAAACGACGGCAGTGGGGGAATTCCTGCGACAGTCCCAAAGGTACAACACATCTTTCTGTTTCTATTTTAGCAGACCTTGAATTTCCTTTCTAATATACTTTATGTGTTGTTTTTTATGTATATGTTGCTTTAAATGTGTTCATTAGCATATACACAGAAGAGAAGGCTAAGAATATGCTGTGAAGAAAGCCTAAATTGGTTGTTGCAATTAAGATTCAGGAAGCCAGAATTTTGCATATAAATGTGAACCGTGTGGTTCAGCTTCATAGGTCACAATTAGAATGTAGAACATATGTAATGATGTTTGTACAGAAACGGTGCCAAACACAGATTTAATAATGAAAATTCCTGCATTCTGTAAATTTTAGCAAGTCACATCACAGCCTTTTTAATTGTGAGCTGTGTATTAAAGAAGAGCTAGTCCTGATTTTTGGATTTTAAGTAAATATAAATATGAGTTCCTTAGCTATTTGATTTCTACAGCTGCCTGTAGCCAGCAGGGCTTGTTTGATCTCTCATGCTTTGTTCTGGTGGTCCGCCTGCAGAGAGCGTGGAGCTGATCCTTCAGGGAATCAACAGCCGCCATAACAGTGACAGCCAGGACAACGACCAGCCCGACTACGACAGCGTGGCATCGGATGAAGACCCGGTGCAAGAGGCCACCTGTGGGGACAGCTGCAATGATGGAAGGACCAAGGTTAGTGATCGGAGGAACCTGCTGCTCTAATCTACTGAGATATTAGGTAGAACGTCCTGCTGCATGTCTCAAAACTGATCAAAACGCTTTCCTTCCTTCTGCCGCAGAGCTCCGAGTCATCTGACCTCTCTGATGGACCAATCACAGTGCAGGAATTCATGGAGGTGAAGAGTGCCCTCACTGCATCAGAAGCCAAAATACAACAGCTTCTTAAAGTCAACTGTCACCTCAGTGATGAGCTGCGTAGCATGCATGGCAAGGTTCGTAAAGTCACATCTGATTGAATCGTGCTGTTTTGCAGGAATGTGTGAAAACTAAGTCTGCCCTCATAGTTAGATTTCCATCTCTTTAATTAGACGGTAGTACACATTAATATTTCAAGACCCGTAATTAGAGGCCACTTTGTTCTGGATTTATGGTTTATAGTGTTGGTCGCCTTTCTTTTCGATTGCAATTCTTCACTACTAGTCCTACAGAGTAAAATGGCTGCTGTGTTTCTGGATGGGGTAAAGTTCCTGTGGTTATTATTGATCTAATTTAACTTCCTCTGCTTTGCTGCTCAGTGAAACCGCAAAACACGGTCGGATGTTCTCGGTCTTTGTGGTCTAAAAGAGATTCAGGATTCAAAAAGTCATATATCACAAGAACCGAGTACTAATCAACAAATGGTAACCACAGTGAACCTTATGATCCGTCATTGTAGATCTATAGAACCATTATACCACCATGCAGTGTTTGGAGTTTGAGTGTGGGAGAATGCCCTCAGCACTCACCATTACAAACTATGTAAAATGTTGCCAATGTCTCCTCTTTGGGGCCAAATTTGCATGCTTACAAAATATATTGTTTATATAAAAGACGAGGAAGGTTTATGACCTATGAAACCATTATGGGAGAAGGCAGAATTTGTTTGAGATTTTGGCTGAGAGACGGCGTCACCACAGTGTACTGCTGCCTCCTCCTGCTGGTTCATAAGGTCCACACCATACTGCTTTCATTTGACACGGTGGTCACCCTTTATTCCACTCCCTTATCTTCCTGACCCCCTTTTTTGCACCCATCAAAACCTCAATTGCTGACACAGGAAATGTCTTGAGGTTCACTAACATACCCGTGGCCTGTAATTGTTGACAGGAAACAGAACAAGTTCACCATCGCTTTATTCAGTTTCCAAGTGCTGTTTGTAAATAAGGGCAACCACTTGTGCAGCAGTTTCTCGAGGGTTCAAGTCGCTGTCAACAGTGTCAGCATTTCATTTGTCAAAGAAGCAAACCTTTGGTGAGAAACCAAAGACAAAGGTGACGGTGAACTCGACATACAGGAATAAACTTTTCTCCCAGAGTCGCTGTATTCTGCTCTATTATTGATGTGTGTCTGAGCTTTTGTAAGGAGATACCCCCCCCTCCCCCAGCTAGAGTTGACTTGAAAGATGCTTTGTTCTCTGCAGCTGAACTCCCTGCAGACCGAAAACACAACGCTGCGATGGCAACCCCCCAGCGGACAACAACCCCTCCAGGGGCCCTTTGGTCGACACCCGCCCCGCGGAGGCCGCGCCATGTCCATGTACGAGACGGGCTCTTCCCCGAGGCAGTACCCCCACCGAGTCGAAGCGGCTCGGCACGACGACGGAGTCGTTTTACAACCCTTCCCAACCAATGTAAGCACAGGAGCGCTAGTGATCCGGCTGGATGGTCATCACGAGACAAAAATAATGACGCCTGGCTCCGGGGGCTGGTGTCGGGTGTTTTCGTTGATTTCAATCATTCATTTCATTGCATCTCAATAGAGTATGCTGAACTTGGTTTGACCCCTTTCTAGATTGGGAGGGGCCCTTTGGGAACGGCTGCCTCCTCCCTCCCTACCTTCCCCTCGTCCCTGTCCTGGTCGAGGGATGAGCGATCTCGAAGGGTTAAGTACAGAAGTCCCCCCCCCCCCTCGGTTCAGACGCAGCCCCAGGGGGACGGTTAAAACTGCCCCCCCCTCTCTGCTTGACCTCACAGCCTTCTCTCTCCTGACCTGTGTCTTTTAAACTGCTTTTTTATCAGTATCGCCTGCCTGCCTGCATGCACAACAGTGCCTCTGCTTCAGTTCAGTTCAGCTATCTGAACAAGTCCAGAGCTGCTTCCTCAGAGGTGATGATTGCTGTTTGAATGATGAGGCCGCAGAGTCCAATATCCATGAAAGATAGATGAAATGGCTCCTCACAATGTGCTCACTAGTGCTAGCCACCGATAAGTGCACCCGAAGTTCATATCGAGACTTCTCCGCTACTAATCGCATCCACTGCAGTACAGGCTTGTTGCACCACAACGACCCGGTTGTCTTTTTCTCTTCGTCTGCTTTAAAAACCAAATGTCTGGTAGTGTGAACTATCAGGAATGCATGATTCTGATTTTGTACGTGCCTAAGGTTGCTGTGGTAATGTGTGCGCGTGCTAACCACACACACTATATGCTGTGTTTGATTGACGGTAGTTTGCTGATGTCTCTTTAGGGCTGCAGTCTGGAAGGACAGAGTATGATGCTGGAGAGTGATTACGACACGACGCCAAACCACTCTGAACTGGAGGAAACTGGGTGAGAACGCGTCGTGTAAACTTTGTGCCCACCTCGTGCAAAATGGCACCGATTGTGACACTAGGTTTTTAAACACAGTTTAGATTTTATTCAATTTTTTTTTCTCTGTGAAGAAATGCATTTTTGAAGTTAAATAAATGGTAAAAGGTTTTTCTTCGTGTTTTTTTTGTTGCTGAAGGTGATGACATCATCGTAGCAGAAGTTTACAAAGTTAAAGGTCACATGAAGACCGAGGGGGGAAGCTTGACTAACATTAGTTCTGACAGATGTTTTAGGAAGAGTCCTTGACTGGAACAGTCTTGACTATATAGGACTACGTTCACATATTAGAACTTGCACCGGTCTGCCAGTTGCAATAAAAACAAATGTGCTGAGTAGTAATAAATAAATGTATCCAGTTCTATACTGAATATAGGACACTAATAGCTAGTTTTAAGGCAACTTCTGTTACAATCTGCTATTTTGGGTATGTTTTAATAAGTGTTTGGCTTTTACTTTGGAATAACAACAATGCAGAAGAGTTTAGGTCTGGGGATCAATTCAGTAGGTTTCATCTAAATCAGACTGCATTTGTTTTACTACAGAGAATGTTATTTCACTTAATTCACAGTCTGTGCGCAACAAATCAGAATCCCAGATCCAAAACTATAATATGTATTTTTAAAGTACATAAACCTGTGTCTGTATGAGTTATAATGCAAATAGCGGTAAGCTGTGATAAAGTTTTCTTTTCATTTATTTGTAGCAGCCCTCTTCCAGCCTCTGAAGCGATGGAGCCGAGGGAGGGGGGTGAGGAAGACGCCACCCTGCCATGTACAGAGGACGTCATCTGTAAGACGGAGCAGATCACTAAGAACATACAGGAGCTTCTGAGAGCCGCCCAGGAGACCAACCATGAAAGGTAGTTTATGATTGAGGATATTATAATTACAAAGTATCAAATTTGTCAACTTGAAATGTGGTTGATAACTCCGAAAAGTCAAATCTTCTCATTATTTCATGCTCTATAAAGCTTGAACTCTATGTACTTCCACCACGATTCTGCCCGTTCTTTTGAAACGGGTAAATGGCGTTTCATCCTCCGTCTCAGCTGCGTCTGGGTCAGTGGTTTTCAATAGTTTCCAGCACTGAGAGCCACTGATTTTTAGCTTCATAGACTGGCCTCTGTCCTTGTGTCTGCTGGGTGGGTCTGCATGCATTGGGTCTTAAAGACGCAGCTGACAGGAAACAAACATCACTTGACCACGTACTCCCCCGGTGCCTGCCAAATCCACAGATGGTTAGTTTCGCCAAACAGGTGTCTTGTGTTCACCCATGTATTCACTTCCTTGTGGAGATAGACATTGTAATGGTTTCTGTAGAAATGCTGAAGTTGTGTAAACAGCAGGGATATTTCATGATGGTATAGTTTGTATTGTACTGGATTGAACAGAGTCCAGTACGAGGTACAGTGTCCACGATTTTAAAAGTGTGTTATTGAGCCAAGCAGCAGAATTTAACATGTCATATTTTCATGAAATATGCAGTATGTTGTATTCATAAATGATATTTACTGGTGGCACAAGGAATATGATCTCAGCTGTCTCGTGATAAGGTTTGTGGTGTCTGCGGTAGTTGTTTTGCATTGATATTTCTATATATGGCACAAGGAAGCGGTTGATCACCCATTCAGCCTTTTTTCCCCTCTTCATCTCCCGCAGCTTCCTGCCTTGTTCAGAAAAGATCTGCATGGCCGTGACAGAGATGGCTGCCCTGTTCCCCAAGGTAAGATGACCCCCACCCCCCACGGCAATTAAGGGATTTGTTGTTTGTTTGAAAACAGCCAAAGGGAAACTTAAATTACTTGTTTCGATCGGGTAGGCCCTGTTGATTGCATTACTTAGTTTTATATCTACCGTTTATTGGATTACTTTGCTTTATGTTCACACACACACACACACACACACACACACACACACACAGAGCCCACTGACCACAATGAGGGTGTATTTATGGAGGTTGTCATGTTCGGGCCCTTTTTACCGAGTCTCCATCGTCCCTCCTTTTCCCCTCACAGAGGCCGTCCTCGGACACGGTGCGAGTGTCTCTGAGTCTGCTCACCTCGAGCGCCAACCGGCTCCACGGAGAGTGCCAGAAGGCCGCCGAGCACAACCCCTGCGTGTCGGACATCCAGCTGGTCACTCAGCTGGTCATCCAGTGCGCCTATGACATTGCCAAAGCTGCCAAGCAACTTGTCACTGTGACTACCAAAGAAAACAACAACTGAGTAAAACATAGACAATCCTGATGCACCCAAACTAGTTTATCAATTTAATCAGTGTTTTTTTTTTTTTTTCCCCATATTAATCAGTGTACGCATTCAGATACATTCCTTAAACGGATTAATGAAAAGATTTATTCATCTTTTTTTTTAATCATGATAACCCAGACTAAACAAACCTCTTAAAGCTACAGGACAGAATATGTTTATTCTGTTACTTACCTTACAAAGAAATAACAGTTCACAAATCCAGCACTAATCCAATGTATGTGTATAGAAAGATTAGAACAGCAACAAATGAGCCTTCTACATTGTACTTCTCCACGTAGACGTCATCATTTGAGCTCCTTGAGGTTGGGTGTCTGGCATGCCAGAGACACCCGGCATCAAGGGTCATAATAGATTAACCTTCATCTACACCAGAGTCATCTTCCTTTTAAATGTATTTAAGATGCAACGACAGTATTTCAATCTTGCACCATGGTTTACGCCACTTGCTTAGAGTTCGAATGTTTGTTTTAGTGAGCAAACTGTGGTTTTAAAAGTCGCTTCAGTGCATTGAGCGCCAGCAGTACCAAGAGTGTGCAAACCTTCATTCCATCCAGCAGGTGCTTTCACTGTTCCGTAAAGTATCAGTAGTTATAATGTTACAGCCATACTTCTGATAGTGTGTGTGTGTGTGTGTGTGTGTGTGTGTGTGTGTGTGTGTGTGTGGGCGGGCGCAGTTGTCACAGAGATGGCCTTGATGGCCCGTGTGAAATCAATTTTGATTATGCAAATATATAAGATGTATGTGTCCATGTAATTCTTTACCAAAATAACCCAAATGCTATTCTATTTATAAACTGTATGTCATACCTCTAAGAAAATATCAATGTTTATTTTCATAAGCCTTTGTTTAACATGATGCTCCTCACAGACTAACTTTTCTTCTGAGGTTTGGGACGTCTCAGCTGGCCGTAAGTTATGGGCAACTTGTGATCTCTGTGTATTCGGTGTGGTGCTGTAACTCCGGCGTGTTAAGATGCTACCTGTGGTCACATACGTACAGCTGTGGTTTACATTTGCCGGTTAAGTAAATGTGCCCTCAAAGTACCTGTTATACAACTTGGCTCGAATGTGTCACCTGTTACTGTGAGTCGGATGAGTTTCAACCAGGGGTGGAAAGAGAACCAGAATACGCTGCATGAGGGGAAGTTCATTCTCTAAGTAATTGCTCAAGTATAAATAAATAAGCTTTCTCAGAAGGCTGTCTCACAGAAGAGTATGAAAACGTGCTTAAATCAGCTTCAGTACAGATTAGTACGCCATTTATGTCTTCTGTACATTTCAAGTCTAAAAGTGTTTTTCTTTTGGTTGTTTTTTTAAAACAACAAAACTTTACTCAAGGTCCACTTATTGCTTGTTTATGACCTTTAAGCTACATTGCACAGTTTGCTTTTGTTGATTGTTGTATCTTTATATAATCTTTATTATTTGTATCTTGTGATTAGTTACTTTAATATGACTTGTTTCCACTGATGTACGTAATGCAAACTATGTAACCTTTCAATGACTCGGTAATGTCTTGCTTTAAATGTTTCAAACGCGATATCATGATTTGGCCATTAATCACCAACAATACTACATAACAATTCCTTTAAAAGGAAAGTTCAATAAGAGATTTTAAGATGATGGACCATTAAGTGATTGAACAGTTGTATTCAGTTTCTTTCCACCTCTGGTTTCAACCCTGACATGTCATTCTCTGTAACTTATAGCCTACCACTGCCTCTATGGTTGAAAACAATCCCTGCCTTAGGTTAAATAAAGTATAATTCATACCTCAACTAGCTCGTGTCCGTGTTTTGAGTTGTGTACAAACAGCGGGCTTTCAACACGCCCATGTATAACGTCCCACCTGTTGGAGGAGGAGGACGGACGCGATAGGGAGCTGGTTCCGCGTGCTCCCAACCCATCTGACAAGAAGAAGAAGAGTTCCGGGTTCTTTTCAACCGAAAGCTGCTCGCGACTTTCCGCTTTCTCACGTCGCTCACACAGCGGTGAACCATGTCTCTCTTACTGGATAACCAATTCAAAGACCTGCCTCCTGACAAGGCGATAGACACAAAGTTGTTCCTGGAGTCTGTCGCTCATATTCCTTCATTTTTCGGTGAGTGTATATATATATATATATGAACTCGAAAAACCGAATTTTGTGTGTGTGTGTGTGTGTGTGTGTGTGTGTGTGTGTGTGTGTGTGTGAGAGAGAGAGAGAGAGACGGCTGTTGGTGTTACAGTTAATACTTTGCTGTCATGCTGTAATGCCGTGACTCTAGTCCGTTCTGAGGACGTGGTTATTTCACACATACCACAAGCGGAGCTGCGGGGTGACTGTGACGGCTGCGGCAGTTTAGCTTATAGAGAAACTGTTTGAGCAGAGCGCACATTGGCCCCATTGTGCACGAGACTATGCATTCTACGCATTTCCCTCCCTCTGTTTGTACGTAAAGGCTGATTTGCCCCCCCCCCCCCGAGCTAGGGACGTGTAATGAAATCATTCATATTTTATTGATTTGCTCTCAAATGTCTTTTTCTTCCAGACTGCTTGGGATCAAACGTATTTTCAGTCATCAAATCAGACATTAATGGCAACATACTGGTAAGATGCATATGTCTGTGTATTTATTTTTCATTGTGTGTTTACATACCATTGTTTGGGGATATTCAAATATCAGTTTGAGGTTAATGATGCAGCTACTACACCCAAACTTCAATCCAAATGTGCACTTTCAGAAAATTAAAGCAGTGTATGTGAAGGATCCTGCAAAGTACGTCACCCTGCAGGACATCGTGGAGGCCGAGCGAGAAGCCCATCCAGCAGAATGGCCCAAAGTCGGAGCAACATTAGCTCTGATGTGGCTGAAAAGGTGAGAGCACTCCCCTGATCTTACTCTTTACTGCTGTGTGTTGAGCTTTCAGCTACTGAACTGACTTTTCTTCTTTTTTTTTTTTTCTCCTGCAGGGGTCTCCATTTCATACAAATCCTGCTGCAGAGTTTGGCAGACGGAGAGAGAGATGAGAACAACCCCAACCTAATTCGGGTTAATGTCACCAAAGCGTATGAACAGGCGCTGAAGAAATACCACGGCTGGATTGTTCAAAAGATTTTCAATGTGAGGAAAATGTGTTCTTAATAATCTATAGCAATGTAATGGAAGGAGTGTACAAAATCTGACCATGTTAATGCGACGATGTCATTTTGTCTACAAGAAACCCCTTATTCTTTGCCATTGTATTATACTTTAGGTGTTAATAGTGTTCCCATACCCTGTATCTAACTATATCTTTATTGTTTTAAATGTACATGTTGTGAGCCTAATTTCCTTTCCTTTTTTTTTGGCTGTTGCAGGTAGCGTTACATGCAGCTCCCTACAAATCAAACTTCCTCAAGGCTCTGTCAAAAGGAGAGGAAGTGAAAGAGGAGGACTGTTTGGCGAATGTGCGTCAGTTCCTGGTTAATTACACCGTCACTGTGGATGCTATATACGACATGTACACAAATCTCAACGCAGAGCTGGACTACACCGTTTGATGTCCCGGGACATCTGTCCATCCTCTCAGGTGTCGGGTCGGACAAGTTCTGTTTTAAAAAGTGTTTTTAATAAGATTGTTTTTAATCTTTTCATTTCAGTGTGATATTTATTACTTTTATTATATCTTACCAAATATTACTACAAAAAAATGCCTTAAATTCAAACTATTATAACAGAAGATTATGATTTTATTCTTGTATTTCATTTCGAAAAGCTGCAGGATTGTTACAGCAACAGTGCAGCTCTCACTCTTACGCAAAATTATGGTATTGTGTGTGTGTGTGTGTGTGTGTGTGTGTGTGTGTGTGTTGCGGCTTTATTTATGACATTAACGGGCATCTTTATACTTGTTCCATGAAGTGAAGAATACAAGACTGTAAACATTGTTATTACAGGAAACCATTACTGTTCACATTCTGATGTTCTCTGCCTCCCGGGCCCTGGAGTCACCTCCACTGTTAACCCTGGAGCATCAAAAATCATTTCAATTGTGCATTAATCCACCTGTGCCTTTGTGTAACTGTACAAATAAACAATGTTTTCAATCAATACATTTGCAATTCTCTTTTCCCTACAAAGCGAAAGTTAGCAGAGCTGCACCTGTTTATCTTCTGAGGGCTCAACCTGTGTGAAGTCTGTGTTTAGTCTGAAGGCGTGGTCCAGCTGTGTATGCTTTGTGTGTATTGTTTGGTGGCCTCTTTTTTTTTTTTCTATTTCTCTCAACTGACCTAACTTCTAAGCGCATTATAATGTCAAACGATACGTTTCATGTCGGCAAACGGCACAGTTATTAATACATTATAGATTAGAGCTGTGTTTTCTGTATGAATACTTATAGATCACAAACTATGATCACATTTGTTCTTATCACAAGATCCAATAAGTGTTGCGACTCGATTGACTTACAGTTCATGAATTGTACTCTAGGTGGCGATGTTTACTTAATTTTGCCTTTTTTTATTCACATTTGTGTTCAAGCTACTGCATGAAATATTTTAAAATATGCTCATTGATTAAAAAAAAAATCATACATTTCACACAATGCAGATACAGTTCCAGTCTTTGCCAGATCTTAAATAACTGAACAGCAGTTCTTTTTTATGTTTTAATATTTCTGAGGCTGATTTCTTGAAAAGTTCTTACCACAGATTATTTTTGAACACTCATTTTCAAAACATCAGCAGTGAAGGGAGGAGAATCCTCCGCTCTTTATGTCACTGAATCCCCCAGATCAACTAACCGTTTCCTCTGCCTGCAGTCTTACTTATCTGCAGTGTGTCCCAGAGGCCGGAGTGGCTCTGGTTCCTCTCCCAGAGGAGCCACGAGCTAATCGTCTCTGAGCGAGCGCAAGAGGAGCATGTCTGTAATCCTGTAGGTCTATCAGCAGAGCGGCCTGGCCTGTCCTGACGGATAGATAGGATGGAAAAGCTCCCAGCGAGGCCAGGACAAAGTCAGCTGAAGATAGGAAATCATTTACAACAATGCCACTGACCTTCAACTCTGAGATATTTCTTATCTGCAATGAGGTCACCAATTGAACATTGCAGTTGTATTCCCAGCAGTGCATCTAAAGCCATTATTCACGGCATCTAGTTTATTTGTTTTGTAATGGAGCACTTAAAATGGGTGTACATTGTATTTCTATGGTGACCTAAACTACATTACTGCTATAGCATCCAATTTAGGAGGACAAATGAAGCAAAATAAGAGGTGCTGGCAGGCATGCCGCCATATAAGATTAGCAATTTAATATAGCTGGGGAACAGCAAGCCCATTTCTACATTATGTAGAGGGTAATGTTATTGTGGATTCATAGAAAGCATGTATTTTTCATACACAAATGTAATATAAGCGAAGGCGAGGGCCTGTACATTTTCATTTACACGTCTGTATTTTGAAGTATTCAATGGCTCCTGCCTCAGATGTTGGCCATCCATCTAGACTAACATAATTCGCTATGATCAAAATTAGCACTTATAGAGGAACCAATCCAATAGCTTTCAGCTAAGGATTGATTTACATCACATTATAAACATGTGAAAAGAGAAGATCTTTATAATATGAGATCTATGGCTGAAAAAGAGACTTGTCAGGTGCTTAAGCCTTAAATCCCTTTGCAATAACACCAGAGAAATGTCTCATCTTTCCACAACTGGAACATTCATGAATATAATAAAAGCGTCTTCTCAGCTGCACGTCTGGCAGATGACGCGTAATAATAACACAAACTATGTGCTGGGTTTAGAAAATTTCATTTACTTGACAATCCTTATTAAGAAGAGGCAAAAAAAGGGGTTGAGGGATTAGGGTCATACAATGCAAAATGTAGTTATTTCAACAACGTACTTCACGGAGAGCGCTCATGTTCATATATAATAATTGCACTTTATAATTATAGAGACAGTTTGCCATTTAACTCATTAGGCTGACATAAATAAATAGTATCACATAACCAGTGCAGACACACAGAAAACTACTCAGTCACACGTCTCACACCATCAGAGATAATATAGCCCTACAAAGAAGATACTGTGAATAATTAAGGTGGCCTGCTCTCAAACATGGCACTCATATATACCCAGGCATTATGTAACAGTGTCACAACCTTCCAGAGATTATTTCATTCAAGAGAAATGTCCAAGCGACCTCTTCAAATAAAAAAAGGTCAACAGAAATACAACCAAAGGGCAGATCTTGCTTGGCCTGAATTGCCACAGTGTTGATTTGGATATGCAACAGTCCTAATACATTGTGCTGAGCAAGACTACTTTCAATCAATCAAGATGTTAGATGACATAACTTCCTCTATGGCTGCTTAACAAAAACAAAAAAAAATCTATTCACATTTGTATACAAATGATGAAAATATTCCTCATAGGCGGCCAGGAAATGTGCATCATATTGCAGAAGCTGAGTTACCGCGTTAGACACTGAGAAGTGGACAAAATATAAAATGCAACGAAGCAGCAGACAACCAAAAGTTCAGTTAATAATTAAGGAATGTTCAAAAAAAAAAAAAAAGACGCCATTTTATGTAAAAAATATACAACATATTCACAAAAAACAACTGTTACCAACGACCCTTCTTCAAAGAAATGTTTCAGAAGGGTACCAATGATTATTTCAGTTGGGTAAGTTTACTTTTTTTAATTTAGGCTTCCAGAGGAATCACCTGCAAAATATACAGTTCATGTTCAAATGTAATGGGAAATTCTGATTAGGTGCTCAGCATCAGCGTTAAATGAGGAACAGCAGGCATATCGAATGGCCATTTAAGATATAAAAATAAAACAAGTCCATAAGATGAACCTGTATCTTAAGTCATGATTATCGGTCACCTTTTCAAGCTCAAAACACAAAGCCTTCTACAAAATAACGTACATGCACAAACTAAAAAAGCATGTCTCATTTTCATCGGTCTAAACTGACACACTTCTATTCTCTATAAAAGGTTTGTCACTTCTGCGTCCCACTGTGCGGCATGCACGCCGCACCTTATCTGTAGACGGGGAGCTGGATGTGGCTTTGCTGGTGGTGCTCCAGTAGCTGAGGCATCCCCATGGCTTCGTACCCGCGGCCCAGCATGCACTCTTTGATGCAGGGAGGGTGGATCTCACTGATGAGGCACTCCAGAGACTGCAGGCTGCTGCTAAGTGCTGCAGCGTGGCACATGCTGGAACTAGGCAGCCCACAACAGAGGTTTTGGTCTGTGCTGTAGGCCTGGGTATGAGGAGGAGGAGGAGGAAGAGGAGGGTGGAGCTGCTGCTGGTGTCTCTGTGGGGGGAAGTGTTGACGGCCGCTCCGATGGAGATGGGGATGGGAGAGTCCGAGGTCTCTAAGCCTGGCTGCACATGTACCCGTTTCCAGCACCTGAGAAGTATAACAGTCGCTGTTAGGGGTGCCTACCACACTGTCCCAGAGAGGAGTGTAGTACTGGGTGACGGAGAACTCCCCCTGCATGGCGGCACAGTTCAGAGAGGAGCCGCTGACTCGCTCCTGATGACGCCTATACGACAGCTGTGAGGAGCACGGCAAAGGGAGGCAGGTTTCAGGAGACTGGCCAACCCCGGCCTCTACGGCTCTGTGCCTCTGAGCGCTGTTACCCACACTGTACATCCTCACTGCTCCCTGCTGATAGGGTTGCTGCTGCTGCTGCTGCAGCTGAATTTGATGTTTATGCTGCCACATTGTGTAGTCTCCTTTCTCCAAGTACCCAGCTTTGGCAACGTCTGCGCTCTGTGTCGGTAGCACTGCCCCCGTAAAAGCGAGACTGCTCTGGGGCGGCACTCCGAGGGCAAAGTCTGAGTCTGAATGTGCCACTGCAGCCACAGCCTGCAGAGAGGGGCTGGCTCGAGCCTCTCCCCCCAGCTGCAGGGCCTGGCTGTGGGGAACTCTGCTCATCTGCCTCATCAGGCTTTGAACCTCTGCCAGCTCAGACTGGGGGGCCAGGCTCTGATCTCTGGAGGCTACCCCTGTGCTAGAACAAAGTGTCTCAACGGGAACATCGTGGGGCTTACATGAGCTTATATGATACGCCGTATGCCTGTGTCTGACTGCGTAGCCGTTGTTCAGAGGATTATTATACGGCACCGCGGAGGTCTGGGTGTTTGCATGTTTAGTCCTCCTGCCCTCCGAGTTTTTCACCACACCTTTGGCGACCACAGAGGCTTTGATGACGCCCAACAATCCCTGGTAGCCTCCTGAGTACGAGTGTGAATAGGGGCTACAGTGTTGGCCTGTGGTGTCTAACCCGTTGACTGTTTTGTTAAGCTGTTTATGTTGCGGCACCCGGACATCAGACGGAAAGATTTTGATGGACAGTGGGCTGTTGGCGGTCCTCTGGGCGAAAGCATCCAACTCTGCGGGAGAAGGGTACCGAGAAATCATGGAGGCTGGCTCGCCTGAGAAGAAAGCAGACAGAAACAATGCATTAGTCTAAAAGCAGCTCAGAGAAATCTTGTGTTCTCCGTTGCTTCTTCCTTTGAATCGAAAACCTGTTTTAGGGAATAATGGAAGACATCAACTTGCCGCATAAACTCGTTTTAAGGAAGGAAACACCTCCAGCACTGTTTGATGAGTGCTTATTGAAAGTTATTCAGACTTAGTTCAACCCAAAATTCGTTTACCCTGGGAAATCAAAAGACAGGAATTGGCAACAGAAGAGGGGGGAGGACCTAATTCTACTGAAATGGCTCCAATGAGTTTTATTTGATGACATTTATCTGTTTAACCACAGCAGGAGGAGCCAAGCGGAAGCTGATTGTAGTAACTGCAACAAAAAAAATCAAAGGGTGTTTTCGACTCATTTTTTTAGCTTTTCTTTGTAAGATTGGAAAACACATAATCGTAAGGATAGTTCATAATTTCTAAGGTTATTATCTTGCCAAAATGCTAAAATCCTTCCACACAGCGGTTTTGGTTGTTTTCAGTAACTTTGTAAATATGTGAGCATTGCTAGTTCACTTCCTGCCTGTGAAACTTTGTTCCACTTTATGCTTTTATGAACCTGAACCGATTTTACTGTAAAAGCTCGGAGCCTAAACTGTGAAGGAAAAGTTGATGCAGATGGAGAAAGAGCAATCACCAAGAGCACAGCTGATTGAATTGTGCGAGGGAAAGCTGACGGGACAAACTGAGATTGGATTTAAACACTATTATTCTGGCAATTTCATGGCTGCTTAACTCCTAGCGACAAAGGAAAGGTGGAAAAGGCGCCCCCATTTAAAAACAATAAATCACCTGGTAGAAATTACCGCCACCTTTCAGAGTGACACTTTTATGGAATTACTGACATAAAAAGAAAAGGCGCTGAAATTAACCTAGATCGATGGAAATCAAAGCAGGCAAAAGAACAAGGCTGTAATCTGCAATAAAAGGGCGAAAAATAAAAACAAAACACTTCATTTCATTTTCAATAACAAAACCAATTCCAGCCATGCAGGGGCGAGCTCACTTGTTGTTCCCATTTGAAATTGATTTGGGAGTTCATTTCATTTCAGGCCTACAGTGAGCCTCCCGACTGTGAAAATGATTCAATCTACAAGATCCATCTCATGAAAGAAAGAAATTGGGTGTTTAAAATGGAGGAAAGAGGTAAGGTGGAGTGTTCAATCCATCCAGCAATCTCCCAGCGGAGCCAAAGGAACGGCAACCATGGTGCCCATGGAGCATGAATGAATTCTACAGAGAAATACAACAAAGCAAAACACTGCTTATTATGTATCACAGTGTAGTGCTGCTGTAGAAAGCCATAACATCTGGCATGTTGGAGAGGTGTTCAAACTGTGAGAGAAAGCGGTAACGGGGGGGGGGGGAAAAACAGCTGCAATAACGATTTCAGGTCTTTGACTAAAAGCTGAATATTCATTTCAATAAATGATATGCAAAAGAGCTTCATATCCACCTGAAAGGAACTTAGATGATGAGAACAGATGACACATTTAAAAATATCCTGAATCCGAAACCAGCATTGACACCCGCTGCAACACATCTTGTCTATTTTCTGCCCGGGATGACATCGCTCAATCACCAAAGATAGATAATTTAGCAAAACAAGCGTTTTCTTGTTCAGTAAAATGTCGGCGTCAAACCTCCACACGCTACGATTGGCTTGCAGTTGCATAAACACTTCAAACACTTTGAATGCTAACGCGTCTTCACAGGGTGTCTGATATTGTTAGCCAGAGATTACAGCCCTGTCAGAGCCTAGGAGACACAACACAGCTGCACTTCCAACTGCGGCTGCCTTCACGTGGCACCATGGAAACCTAATTAGCAAATAGGCCTTTGCCACTCTGCATTCACGTATCCATCATCTGAGGACTACTACTGTGACATTATGCATAAAAAAACGGGGATCATTTCAGCTGATCCTGATTGTAGCAAGCATCGTGACGTTAAAATGGAGATCAGGAACACCATGACCGGCAGCATGCTCTAAATTACATCCACAGGTAATTGTTTCAATCTTGAGGACTTTAAAAGCAATCAGTGGCGCTAAATGGCTTTCAACTGAGCACAGCATGTTTACCAGCCGGTAGTTGCTTTCCCAAAGCACGTGTTAGCAGAGATAAAATTACATCTTGGAGTCATTCTTCACAATATTCGCTCTCCCTTTACTGGGGCTTCCTGCAAAACACACCCAAGTCAAACACGTGTGGTTTGTTAATTACAGGTGTCCGAGAAGGTTATTTGCAGCCTCAAAGACAGTGAATTTGAACATGTGCAACAGTCGCTCCCAGCTCCTTTTGGCTTTTATCCTGAAAACAAGCAAACAAACAAGTAAAAATGTACAAATGAAGCCAGAACCCCAGGCTACTTACTTATTATTAGTCTGAAATAATTACATTCAGACAGCTATTTGGCTCTTTTTGGAACTGCGGCACAAAAACATGAGCTGGTAAATTAGTAAATATTTTCACCTCACAGATGAAAATGTTAGTTACAATCCCAACATGGGCTGTTTCCTTTAATCACGTTGCCTTTAGGAGGTGAGACTATTTATGCTGGTGTTAAAGTAGGTTTGCATGAGTGCATTTTTAGCACACAATCATAAGCACACAAGTCAGAAGGCAAACTGAAAAAGACTCGAAACCGGTCCTCTTTCTCGCGCTAACAAAAACAGCCGTCTGTCCTTTAGAATAATTGGTCAGCTATACATTTCTTTGTGAAATGGTTTCCTGTCGTTCTTTACTAAGAGGCACTTTAGTCGCAACTAAATCTAGTGGTGTAAAATAAAGAGTGGAAAAGAAAACAAATATGAGGCTGTTCACATGACAACGGGGGAAATGGCAGCTATGTGTTGTCAGGTGAGACACGGCGGGGAGATAATTAGCAGTCTGACCTTAAGCACTTAATCACCCTGAACCTGCAGACTGCACGCTGTTTCACTCCTCAGCCCTGACAGAGAGCACAGGCGGCAGAGGCAGACGAAAACAGCACAGAAAATAACAACAGCCACTTTTCGCCGTACAGCCTTGCCTGAGAGCATCATGCAGTGCTTACAAATTCAAATTCTTTGACCTTTAACATTTTTCCCCCACTTGCGCTTTGATTGAAGTAGGTTATGTAGGATTGAAAAGGCTCGTATGTATTTTTCTTTTTCCTCAACAATCTGCATAATGACACTGATGTGTGATGCATCTACAACGCCTAGATGGATAGATTTAATGGTCCCACCAGTCAGGCTTAAATGTTTTCTCGGTCGGAAGGGGCTCCACACAATTACATTAAACATGCTGCTCAACTGTTGTGGCAGCACGCTGAGTGAAACTGGCACACTTTCACAGGAAACACCTAATCCTGATTTCCTCTTTCCATGCAGGGGACGTGCACAGTTGGGGGTGGGAGGCCAATTATAAACTCTCAATCACCAGGCCTAATTTATTATGTGTGTGTGTGTGTGTGTGTTTGTGTGCATTTGTGACTTAAAGAAAAGATTATAAAAATATTAGCATGGGAATATTCTGGAGGGATAAAACATTGGGTACTTACCAAATGGTCTTTCATAACCCTGATTCCACCCCCATACAATCCCACTCGACGCTTTCTGCCACTTTAAACTGACTAATCTTTTTCCCGTGGTCACACTTGAAGCCATTTCCCCCCCAGATTAGAGAGGAGACCTCATTGTTTCGGAGCAGTTTCAGTTAATCACTAATTTATGGGCAAAACAAGCCCCAGGCTAACATAAGAAAGCCATTCGTATGACCGCTATACATATGATTCCCACGCGAGATAAAACAAGAAGAAAATGTATAAATTATTCCTCGTTAATATCTATACATGTCGGCTGAACTGCCAGGCAAACATCCCACAGGTCTTTGATGTTATGCTGAAGACTTATCGCGAAACACTTTAGTGAGATAACATGTTTACGAGTGTCTAATCCTCAGCAGGAGCATGGCACTGAGAACTGGCAGTTAATTACAGAACAGTGCTTCTCAGCAGGCATGAATACTTGTTTACCACACCAATAATCCTGATATTTAAAATACTCTGGCCTACCTTTAATAACCAGGGCCTGAGCACAGCACATTCCCAAACGCACTAAAAACCTATGTCGCTATTACCATGGCAACCTCCTCTATGCACCCAGTCATTAGGACCATGTAATTAATTGACCCTGACTTCATTCATCTCTTTGAGACGAGCTACAGCTGATTAGACAGAGCAATGACATCAAAACTAGCAGCTGCTATGTTCTCCCATTCAATGCAGGCCACGGACTAGAAAATGTTGCTAATAATTTGCATAATTTATATAATGATATGCTAATTATATTAGAGATTGTTCTTGTTATTGTGATGGATTGTTTTTGTCAATTTCCATCCTCCAATCACATTACAAACGTCCACTCAATAAAGTCTAAAGCTGAAGAAATCGACATTTTGGCCGTAGATCATTTTAAGTTATTCATAGCCGAAGCATTTCTATGACTTGAATGTTCAATGTACTGAAACAGTAGAGGGTACAAGACTGTGTATTTAGAAATGCAAGGTGAGATGTGAAGCACTCCCAGAAGAGAATTCCAATGACAAACATCCAATCGCAGAGCTAAAATTCTGTTGCGTGTACCACAATGGCAAACTGCAAATAAAACCTGCTAATAATAATAATTCAGCAGCTATAGCACACATTACAGTCATGTGACTCAATGCTGACATCAAAAATATTGATTATACGGGTTCAATAAGTGTTATAACTACAAAGATGCAGTATCAGCAGCTTTTTTTTTTTTTATGTCAACGGACTAATAAAGATGCATTAACATTTATCTCCCATGGGGTTAAAAGAAGGTTGCCTGTTAAGGCCTCCATGTGGTTTACTCAACCTATAGCAGCCCAGAAGACCATTCAATTGAAAAAGTAGACACAGGACATGCTGACAACATACACTCTTACAAATCTCACTCACACTAACCTCTCTATTCACAAACGTCTTCCGTAAACACACACACACACACAGAAAACACTCATTCACCCCATTTTCACAAGCCTCCCTCTTTCCACGTCAGTGATACATGAAGGGTGCTCACGGCACAGAGTAACCTCGGGGTCGAACACTTAGTTACAGTATGTGTCCTCGAAGAGGCTCTGGTGAATTCTCCTTTGCACCAGTGTCACTCCTCATTTGTCTCTGTGCCGCTTGGCCCAGCTTGGGCAAACTTTACCCTCTCAGAGCCGACCCAAGCGCAGGCCGGCAGCGTGGGAAAAAGCATTACCAGCCCCTGCTTTCAAGCTGAGATAGCGGAGAAGAGAGCAGCTCTCATTGACTTTCATCGCATAATTCCTAAAGCTCGTTTCTCAGAAATCTTTCACATGGGTCGGTGGGGCTGAGAGCTTTCATGTCCTGTGCCTTCCATTTATTGATAGCTAAAAATGGAAACGGCTTTCAAAGAGCGCAGCAGTGACTAAAGACCGTCCCTACTTAACTTGATCCAACTGCGACTCATTTAATGAAGAAGCCGGGTCCACACAGGCTGAGCTCCCATCAGCAGTCTTTTCCCTGTGGTTGTGCTACACACAGTCGCAGTACATAAAACTCAAAAGGGAGGTGGAAAGGCCCTGCAGGTAAACAGGATGAGAAACGCACCCCTGGTTCTGCCTGAGGCTAACTAGGCCCTTCTGTTCCAGCGTTTAGCAGACAAGTGCTCCATTGATTCAATTAATATTTAATAGCAAAAAAAGACAAGGAAGCATTTCACCTGAGGAGAAAGATGGGAGATAAAGAGATAGAGATTTTCACCATTTCAAATATGAGAACAGTTAGATGCATATTGTTTGGACAGTATATATAAGTAAGTAAGTAATAATGCAAAACACTATCCATGCTTTTTTCAAAATGAACTACATTGGGCCTCATCTCAGGATTGTGTGGGTATTGATGCATACATCTCCCAGACTCTGCTGTCAGTCTTGTGCCACCAGTTTGATAAAGAAAACGTTCATGGTTCTTTCAAAAAAAAGGTACAGTCAGCGATTCTAATTCAATACACTTTTGTCGAATTCAGCAAATATCTGTCGTCAGTTCTGTGTGTGCGCATAAGAAAAATCCATTGTTCGTACACAGCCCCGGCTCTGGACATGTGAAGTAAACAAAGTGGTTAGGACAGAGCCACACACAACTATTCCAGCCAGGGCAGGGGAAAGGCCGTGGATGTTTAAAGAGAAAGGCAGTGGGAGCGAGAGGGGGGGGCTTTTGTTTGGATGTTGAGTTCAAATATCGACAATCTTTCTCCTTGATCGCTAACTCCACCTTTAAGTATATGGACTCTGGTGACCTAAATAAAAACCCAAAGCATGGTTCCACCGGAGAATAGGTCTAATTATCCAGAATAATGTGTACGCGCAAGTGTCACTGAAATATGATCATTACAGGGTCATCTGAAAATAATGGGCCTTCTATACTTTGCTTCCCAATTATACATTATACAGAAGATTAGATCTCTGAACAACAATATCCTGGATGACAATACACAGGCTCATGCAAATAAACAAAACATTTACTGGCAACATAATCAGTCATAAAAGATAACCCTGACCACTGCCCTGCTCTGCAGACAAAGGGACGTGTACATATGGGCTTAGCTAACATTGATAGTCACATTATACTGATTCTGTCCGAGAAATGTTACTGGTCAATATTTGCATGCTCTTGCTTTCCAGTTTCTAGTATGAGACCACAGTCGACACGCTGCGACACTTACACCAAAAAGAGCATCTTTAAATTATTATTATTAATTCAAGATGTTTCATTTCAAATACATTCACGAGGCTGTGTTACACACCCAGAAGAACCATTAAACTGTAGCTCTCGAACAGAGAAGCATCGAAGTAGGTATCAGCAAAATTTTAAAGCAATTGAAAAAAGAGGAAACCACAGCAGAATAACATTTGTGGTACTCTGATCTCATTATGTGAATCTAGACCGTCCAGGAAAAGGACCATTTGGACCAAATCATATGGATGTAAAGTAACCTACATAAAGAAGGCAGTATCAGAGAACTAACTACATCTGCAAACAAGTCACATTCAATCAATTAATTGAATGAAATCTAATCACAAATGTCAGTCCAAGTTAGGCTGAGACACCCATTCAACCTTTCAGTGACTGCAGTATAATCAGTCACAATGAAGGTCAAATGACACAGACACCGAGCACTTTCTGCACAAAATGTGAACATCATTAGTTACCCTATATGTGAGTTGAATAACTCTGTGATTTTAGAGTCCACTTTGACCTGCATGCACAAGCACTGCAAGAGCACACTGATTAGCCCAATTAACAGGCATCATCATCATCAGGAGGTTGCCCATTATTTTAAATTCGAGAAGCTTCAGGGCAGCTGAAATCTTAGCACACCGCTAAAACCATGCATGAGCTTCAGGTTCACCAGGAAGCCACAATGTCAAGCTGAAAATTATTGATTAAAAAGTCAGGAACATGACCGAGATCATACTAGTTACCAGTATGTTTTATGTTAGTAAGCATAGATGAATTGTGTATCTGTGTAGTACTTGCTCTCCTCTCTGGCAAAATGTCTTCACGCGTGTGGCACAAACTCACCTTTGTGGGTGCACAGCTGCAGTGGTGGTACTGACAGCAGTAACGGCGGTGGTGGTACATCAAGGCTTTTGGGTATGCAGGCCAGATTCTGCAACGAGAGATTCTGCCGTCTCTGGATACAGGCCAGCATGATAGTTATCTAGAGCTGCACACAGCCTGGGTAAACCTGCTAGAATGAAGGAAAATAGGTTTTAACTCGACAGCCAATACACTTAACACCAAACATAATGGTGATTAAACAGGATTAAAAGTCTACAGCCATGCTAGGTCAGCGGTGCTTTGAGCTAAATGCTGGCACAGTGGCAATGCTAACATTCTGATCTTTAGCATGCACACGTTAACCATGTTCACCATTAGCTAATTAGCACATTAGAACACAGTACTGCAAAGGCTGATGGGAATGTTGTTATTATTGTGGGTGTTAGGTCATAAACGACACATTCAACGTTTGGTAGAAATGTCAGTACCAGAATTTCATGGCAAGCCATCGAAAAAACTGAAATGTCAACTTTGTGGTGGCACTAGAGGTAAAGTCAGGAGAACAACAAGAGATATGACTTAGTCGTCCTCTGGGGACCATGAATTTCAAATTTCATGGCAATCAATCCAATAGTTGAGATATTTCAGCAAGGATCAAACAGGTGGACCGACCGACAGATTAACCTCCATAGAGCGACGCAGCTTTGCTCAAAAAATGTTAACGTTAGATTAATTGGTCCCACACCAGTTTTTTTTGTTGTGTCTTTTGATTTTAAAAGTTTTTGTGATTGCATTGTTAGGCCCCATAGTGTCCAGGATCAATGAAAAGAAGGTATATGCCAACTGTATTATGTGTAGTACATCCATACAACACATTGCATCAAACATTAGTTTGATGTCGGAAGAAAACTGCAAGCTTGCTGCTGGAGAACACTTAAATCTCATAGGAGGCGCTCCTCTTATAATATTAAAAAATATAATAATGATAATAATAATATGTTTTCCATGTTACCTCAGTAGCTTTCATATTTGAAACTCTGCAAACACTTGGGCACTTTTACCAAATAAAAATGAAGGAGCCCGTCTTTGAACTGCTGACATTCAAAAACGTCATGTCACTTAATGACGACTCCATCTCCTCCTTCTTCTTCTTTGTTATGATGGCTCTTTCCTGTTATCAACCTTGTTCTGTCGTCTGCAATCACACAGATCATTTACAGGGTCTACTGTTGCCTCGGGCTGTGTTTCAATTTATAACGAGCCCTGAGACCTGGGTTTATTCTTCTATAAATTTATGGTCGTATTGATCAGCAGAGAAAGCCAAAAGCAGCTCACTCCCTATGATAGGCTGTGCTGTTTACAGAGTTAAGTATTGTCAGAGGAAATGAGTGGCTGTGCCCGAAAGAGAAGGCGCCTCACCACAGATGTGCTGATTGAAGCAATCATTCTGGAGATAAAGCCAGGCATTATGGGAATATTTCAGTGGTGATCGCATTTGACATTCTCTTTGATTATCTGACAGAGTCATCAAGTCTGAATGCTAGCACTGCAAAGCTAAAACCCCCGGGGCGAACATAAAATACTTCTTACTGTATATGAATCAGGTACCTGTCAGATAGACAACTGCAGTCCATGCAACACAAAATCACAGACTTATAGGTTCTTAATAGTTAAAAAGTCCAAAAATACAGATGGAAAGAAACAGTATTTTCATTACAATGCAGGAGTACCCAACAAGGCTAATATAAGCCAGCAGCATAATACTATCACATCACCTCTTTTTTCTTGTTCGCTCTTAAGGTTGTTTTGGATTTTTGCTTTCATTTCTCCCTCAGGGTCCAGAGGGCAGCTAAAGTGAGTCAACCACAGAACACAGTGTTCAGTGGCAAGCTGCAGAAACATGATTACCTTCACCTCAAAAGGAAGAAGAGACAGAGTGGCTTTCATTTTACTCAGGTGCCAACAACAAAAAAAAGATTCCCTCACTCTTCCCCTTCTGGCTACCCGCTCCCCTCCTCCGCTCAACATCTGTCCCTTAGTGACAAGCCCACTTCAAACTGCTCAGTGCAACCTGTCTCATCTGAGCACACACACATCTGAAGAGCTAAAAGCCTCAGCATGGTCAGATTCCATTTAGAAAATAATGGCAATTTCACAACAATTCTTCCATTACCACACATTTGTCAAGAATGCAGGAGGAACACAAGGGAGAAAAGGCTTCTCCTGGGAAATCCCTTCACTAGCAGAAAATGAGACGTGAACTGGAATACCTTCCATTACTCCCATAATTTGCCGCTGGAATAAAATACTTCAAGGAGGGCATTATAATTCAAAGAGAAGCCAGCAGTGACTTAAAGAAAAAAACTTTCACTGAAAGCAGAAAAAGGAGCTAGAAATGATGCATAAAGTGCAAGTAATGATGGTTCCTTTCATCCTGATATCTAAATTTTAAATTTAAGGGAATTTTGAGAAAACTTAAGCTTAAAATTGCCTTCCAACTCTTTGACTAGAATTACCCAGAAAAGTTGAAGAGAGATGTGACATCAAAGTTATCCCAGAATGCATGATACTATCTGAACTAAGTTAACAAGCAATATCATTTCTCCTGCCCATCATATGATGTTCTGCTCAACAGAAAAGTTCCATATATTGCTCTTTCTTACAATATCATATCAGAATATCTCACAATAGGGAGGCTGCAATAATACAGTAATTATAGGGACACGGCAAATGCAAAGTCAGCAATCTTAAAAACAGCAGTATGCAGCATAGAACTCAACAAATGAGGTCAAGTATCTTTGTCCTTAACATAATGGTCAGTGGTACTCCCTTCCTTTTTCTTTAATTAGCTCTCCAATCAGTGTCTAACCTGCCTTTGTGCAAGACATTATGGTAGAGGTAATATACCAGTTGTCTCACTTCTCACATTTCCTCCAAAGCCTTTTTGGGACTTTCCAAGTCTTACAGGCTCACATACTTAAGGACAAGAAAAAAAAACACAAAGTTTTATCTGAGGGGCGTCTAATCATCTCCACTCTGAGGCGACATCCATGCAGTTGATAAGCAGCATGATGTGCTCCACTGAGGGCCTGCCAGGGAGATAAAGACCGTGTGCTTTGCAGTCCACCTAACTGTCCCCCATGTCTTGGCAGATAAAAGTATTTTTCAAACCTCTTCCCTAGTCATTGTCAGCATGTTCAATGCCCCCCCCCCCCCCCCTCCCCCGAATAGCAGGTGCCTTAAATGTTAACTGAATTTGAATGACATCTGTTCAACAAAAACAGGATCCTTCAGCTAATCATTATATATTATACTGACCACTTTATATTAGTTATAGTTAAGATAGTATTGGCATCAACTAGCACTGTTATATTTATGCTGTAATGGGAAGAAGTTAGACTCCAGACGATCTAGGCTATGTGGATCATATTTCTTGAGATAATAAAGCTGGCTCTGCATGATTGCCCAGAAAATACACTACTATGTTTAAAGAAAAAGGAATCTAAAATGTGTCGTGCCTTGCTTTTTACCTGTTCGGCTGTACAAAGCAGCAGCACAAGAATATCCATCAAAGCAGGAAAAATCCCTAAATTATACAGACTCAGACAAAAGCATCTGCCTAACCTTCTGGAATCTTTATGAGTTTGCGCAGCATCAAGGGTCAGGGCAAAAGATAGAAGCAAACTACAAAGAGAGCCTTCCTCTAAACAAACATGAAATGCACAGAAAAAAAAGATACACACTGGCTCTGCACACACCCTCGCCCTGCAACATTCACACACACCCCTCCCTACTACCATCTCAGCTCCTGTTCTCAGAATCCTCAGTTAATAATTAGATGATAATGAAAAAGGTCTATGACAAGCACCCTTTTCACTCTCTGGGTGGATTAGCATGTGAGTGCTATGCTAATGTTTTCCCTTCCTTCCACTCAGAAACTGCAGAAGCGCAAAAGGGAAAGAGCACAAAGGATGGAAAAAAGAAACCCAATTTAGGAGAAAATAAATGATTAAGAAAGAGCAATTGGTCATTACAGAGAAGAAAAAGCAGTGCTTCTCTTTGAATGAACATGACACGGACCATGACTAACAATCCACTTAGTGTATAATTAATTGTATATTACGTATGGCTTTTATATTGTCTTTAAGGTAGGCTCTGCAGGAACCTGTCTAGGTAATGGTGACAGACAAGTAGTTTGACATACAGACAGAATTAGACAGCAGTGCTGCAGCAGCTGCTGGATTCATCTCTATACACTCCTACACACACACACACACATACTGATCCCCCCCCCCCCCCAAGCCCCTCATACATTTTTAATAGAATCTATTACTTCTGGATTAGCCGATAAGAGCTGGCCTGGTTAAATTCTATAATAGTTTGCATAATTGGTATCAGAGCAGCGCATAAGAGAGACCCAGATTTCTCTCTTCCCCTTCTGTGGAGAAACAGAAAAGAAAGGACACAAAGGTCCACATACAGGATAACCAAACAAACCGGAGCCACTCTGCTCCACGCTGCAAGAACACTCGAGGCCTGCGGCTGATAACAATGAGCCTCATTTCCATTGAGATTAGCTAAAAGGTATTACAACAGTGTTAAAAAGCCTTTCCTACACAATTCATGCGCAGGCACAAAATTTATGTAAATACAATCGCTGGGCAATATTCAAACAGATGTCCAGAGCTTTCAGTTGGGTGTAAATCATTCTGCCTCAATGGCAGGGTGTCTGGGGGGGACATTACAGTTTCTCCCATGCTACATTTTATGTAGCCATCACAAGACAGGTGTATTGCAATAAAGCTGAGGACATTTAAGTCTGTAAATGCTAAACAAACAGGCAAATAAAGACTAACTTCCACTCACAAGTTTTAACAGTCTCTAAACTATCTCACACATATTTACTCACTACCGTAACACACACACACACACACACACACACACACACACACACACACACACA